CTGCTTCAACACCCCCACCAACAGCACAACTACATATCACGAATGCTAATGAGATGGACATCTCCCATCATTGAAAGTGTTAACTACATTTCATACTAGCATGTTTATTGGGATTTTTTTCCACTGGTATTTATGAATTTAACCTTTTGGATAGCTCTGAGTAATTTAATTTTGGTCAAGTCTTTGTCTTTGCGTGTTTTAAATAAAAAATTATCCGTGCATCAAGTCTTTGTCTTTGTATGTTTTAAATAAAAAATTAATAGCCCTCACATCTCACACAATATACAAATATTACCATTTAAATCTATTTTGGTGTCAGCCAGATTTTTCACAAAAAAACTGAGAGAGCATTTTTCAAGTCACATACTATAATAGTTACTATGCCCCAATCTGAAAATTATTTACAAAATAACTCTCTCTCGTGCTCAATATTTTTCATATATTTTACAAAAAGTTCATCTATTAAAATGCCACTATCTGAAAGTGTTAGCTTTTCAATGTGTGGTTTTTCAAGATGTCTCCACAGAGACAATAGAAATAATTACAGTAAAAGACAGCCTAGATTAAAAAAAAAAAACAAAGTAGAAAGTAAGCTGTTATGATGTATTGTATAAAAAATTCTGTTAATTTATTTTCTCTTGAGCTATCTCTATATTAGAAACTTTCTTCTATTCTTAAGTGCCTTCTTACTTTTACTTGCTTTATACTACCCTACCTGACTTTTAAGGAATGTTATTTGTAGATTACCAACTTTCATCCTAAAATGGTACAAAAGGTACAGTAAGGTGACCTCAGACTTTGTGGTCTAAGAATTTTGACTCTTGTATTCACTGCCTCTTCTGGGGCAGGAAGCAACAGGGTGATTTGAAGCTGTGCAATTTGCAATACATAGCCTTGGGGCCAAACAGTATGTATTTTTTATAGAAGTGTAATAGCACTCACTGAAATGGAGATCCAGTTAAATTGTAATAGAAATACCTCACATTACTATCAAGCTAGTAATATTTGTAAGAGCTATTTTGTCGCAATGGGCAAAGGATGTGATCCTAGCACAATAATTGAAGGTCAAGGATATTTTTCTATTATTTTTCTCCATTTTTTCCTTCTTTATTTAACATAAGATAGTCTAAATAAAAATGCAATACAAAAAACATAATACTCAGATCAATAAAAAGCAAAAAATGAATCATTTATGGTTGCCAGAATGTCTAAATATTATATTAGTCTGAAAACTACATGAAATATCACATCATTGGGTTGTGCTGTCATGCCTTGGCAAACAGGATGGAAGGAAGGCCTTTTCACTGAATTTCCTAATATATTAGGAACCTCATTTACCATGTCAGAACTTACTTATTTTATGCTCTGTTTGAACTTATTTTTAACTTATTGATAACACAAAATACAGAAAATGAAAAGTAATATTGCAAAATTATATGTTATACTCTAAATACACATGCTAGGTTCTGTAAACACCCTATATTGGATCTCACTTACAAAAAAATTCTAGTCTGATAGTGAACAGTAAAATTTGAAAGAAAATATGCTTAAAACGGATTTTAGTGTTTAATCTTACTTTTATCTACAGAAATATTAATCCAGGTAATGCATTCAGTTTCCTTTCAACAGACTGAAAGTGTTTTAGGAAATACCAAATATTATTTTAATAGTAAAGACCTAATATTATTGTAATAATTTTATAAGGCTTAAAGTTATTGCTTTATTCTTGATACTCCAAATGTTATTTTGAAAGGTACATAAGAACAATTTTGATTTTCTTTATATTTTTTTAAATGTCACATTTATACTCCTAATTGTAACCTGTTCATATTATGTTCCTTAAACAATGAAACACCTGCAAAAGGTATATGGCACTTAGGTCTACATATAATTATTTCAGTATCTACATGCACTTGTTTTCAGAGGTGCTGTCAAATAAAATAAAATTATTTTTCTGCTATTAAAACTCTTCCCAAACTGATACTTTTGGCCATTATTGGAGAAATCATTAACCCAGGTTAATGTAGTGTAATGTCACCATATTTTCTTTCTAAAGAAGAATAAAGAGCCACCCACAAAGTGTTTTTCTTCTGGTCTTATTCAGGAGCTTCCCCCCACCTCCCAAAGCTGTTACCTGCTTTTTAATTTTAAAGATTATTACTATACTTGTTAAATACTCGAATGTCTCATATTTGATAGATTTCATGTTCATGTTTTCTAAAGATAAATTATCATCTTATCAGAACACTGTAATATTGATATATTTTTATTTTTATACCTTTTGACAGACAGCATTGTTTTATAAGTGAGGAATATCAATAGAAAATGTGAAGATGCTCACCATCTTCTTTTATTATGCAGATAAAATAAATTATCTTTTAAAAGAAGCCCTTTCTTAGCCTTACTGATTGTTTCTATTTACTTGAGTTCTTATTTTTGATCACCATTAGCTTGAGACAGGAACGGTATTTTCCAAAGTCAATGCTCATTTCTCTTTATGGATCTGGCAGCAGGAGGTGCTGTATAAACAGTGTGACTGACACCCTGGCTTCCACCTCCCCTCCCCCTCCCTACATAGGCTGATAAAGCATGATCTATCTGATGCATTCATTCTTAACTCTGGGGCCTGAAATTATTTTGAAACTGAGTTTCCTAGCTGACTGTTTAATGTATAATTGTTACTTTTCCTGAGAAATCTGCACACCTACTATTTTCATAAATCATTCAACTGACCTTTTAAAGATTACTCTCAGATTTATAAATCAAAAGATGTCACACCTAACTATTCTAAAAACTCTGGGAATTTCATTTTTATTCAAATGTATTAACATACAAAACCTTCTGATTAAGAAGTAATAAAAACATCTGCATGTTTCTCCACAAACACACATGTATGCAAATAAAGTCATTATGAACTAATCAGGTCTAAGACTACAACCGATCAAATAATGCATGCTATATCCCAGATTCATTTATGTATCCAAATTAAAATATACGTCTACATATTTATTTAATTCCAAATGCATGGTCACTAAAATATTATTGGTTATCCTAGCAATTATAAAATTCTGTTATTTTTCAAAATTTAACTTCAGTAATGTTTAGATAATTTTTTTTAGCAAAAACATTTTTCAACTAAGGCATACTTATTTTGATTAGCTTGGTGGGAAGAACTACAAGTTTGCATATTAAAAATCATATGTGCATCAAAAGCTATTAATTTTTTTAATGAAAAATTATTGTCTTTATATAGAATCTCCACATAAGGAATGTATCAGTTATGCACAGTGTGCAGCAAGAAAAGATGAAACGTATGACACCCCACACCGAAAGACAGATGCAATTAGCTCCATTATTGTTGCCTTTGAGATTATAGACGACGCATTTCGTTTCCCTAACGGGCACCAAAGTTCATGCAATACAGGTCACACTTCTTTATGACACAGTGCCAATCATTTCTTTTATACAACCAGTACATTTTTAAATGAAAACAAAAAAGCAGTCTGTTAAAGAGTGGGACAACTCACCTGTTTGCAATAGTTTTTTGCAGACTTTAATCGATGGTGCAAGGCCAATAGGACTCCCTGGATGTACATCTTTGCTCCTGAGGGGCTGAAACCTTCTCCCTTAGAGACCCAAACAGGTCCACGCAAAGGTGTGATGGAATTTTGCAGGCATTTGTCAAGCACAGGAACTAGACAAGGAAAAAAAAAAAGAAAATGCATTCTTTTGACCCAACTGAAATACACAGCCTGAAATGCAGCCCTACCATCAGAACTAACTCCTAATATCTATTATTTATATCTGACCTGGGTTAAGTCTTGGAAAAGCAACTCCTGCATTACTAGTGGCCACCATGAAGGATGTATTTATATTGAGACACCCCCCATGTAAGACTTATAAGCTTTGTGAGCACACCTGAATAGTTCTGAAGTGTGCCTAACTAGCTGCACAGAGTGTCATGGTGTGCACTGATTGCCTTATCTTCTCATTTATCACAGATGAGTTGGAACCAACCTTGCTGAAATCTACTTGCATTGTCCTGATAAAATTGCAAGATCCATGTTGTTTCTGTACACAGTTTCCTGTTGAGGAGCTTCTGTATACTTAAAATATTACACATTAGATTATCCATAAAAATATAATGAACACACTCATAAGCAATTTTACAATAACCTATTCACTGCCACTGCTCAAGCATCAGCTTCAGATCAAATAAAACAGCTCAAGGTGGCTGTTTAATAATGAGAGGAAAGTCAAAGGAAAAGATATATACAAGTAGATTCAAGGCAATAATGTTAACAAGATTTTTCTTGATATTTTTAGACTGCATCCCATATGTTTAAAGCATTCTCTCTCAGTAGCATCATATGCCAATATATTGTGACAGACAAGACAAGAACCTTTTGGCAGGAGGCTTTAGTGAGAGACATACATTTGGCACACATTTTGGATTTTACTGTGTTGTGTAATTAATATATAGGCTGTTGTTATGTGAGATAAAATAAAATGGTGCTTGGCTGCTTAAATATGCAATCTTTTTAGGCTTTTACCTAATACTATAAAATGTAAAAGATGTTCCTGTTTTTTCTAGAAATCCAAAAGAAAATTGACAATCAAGAAATACCAGTATAAAGCACACTTGTGAACATTTACAAATAAAATATTATAGCTTTAACTCTAGTACTCTGTGGTCATTTCAGGAATACATGTATTCATTCACATTTGACTACACACACATGTTACTCATCTGATATGTGTTATATATACTCATGTCTGTAATAATTTTATTGGCAGATATGTAGCAAGAAAGGGATATCTGTATCATCAACAAAAAAAATGAGGAAATATCCATGCATACATTATATTTTACATATTTTGCGGAAAAAAAGACGCTAACATCCCATTCAGGAAGCTGATTCCCAATTTAACTCAACTGCTGTTCAACTTTCCCCAACCATACAGAGCTAGACTGTATCCTCAGTAAAGAAAATGTCATAAGGGAACTCCTGTTGACCTGCGTAGTTGACCTCTTAAAGTAAACGTAAAAGAAAGATCATACAGATGTGAGTTAAGGCTATCTCTACAGGTTAATAACTAGGTAAACATTACATATTTACTTTTGCTAAAAGCAATGTATTTTAAATATACTGTCACATAACAAAGGCAGAATCAAAATATCATAAAATGATTTTAGAGGGGGATGTTAATTTCGAAATATAAAATCATGTAGCTTTATTATGCCCCTAAACTGTCAAAAAAGCTACATGCCTACACCATATGCCTTAAACTTTATTAGAATATTGTTTTGTCACCTGGTCAGTAATTTTATTTGGCTGCTATTCCTTTCACGTGACTAATGCTTCAAGATTCAACATGATAGTTACCTGTTTGTCTGAGAAATATCACTACCTACTTCTATGCTAAATGTTATGCATAAAATGTCCTTCCTGAATAGGTTTGAAAAGCCACTATAGTGTCTCTAATTAATTTGAAGTTCCAACTCTGATATGATACCTACAAGAAACTATGGCTCCAGTTTGTCAAGGTATTTAAGCAGCTACATAAATGGAACTACTCCCATGCTTACATTTAAGTCAAGGGAACTACCTACATGCTTAAAGTTAAGCACCTCGGGCATGTCCCCATGAGCAGCAACATGTGTTTCCCCAGGGACAAGTAGCAGTGGCACACCTTGTACCACTGTGACTTGCCTTCTGGGGAATGCCCATGCTACTTGCGATCTGGCATGCAGCAGTTTACCCCAGATGGGGTACAGGAGGCTGGGGCCAGCAGCTGTGCTAGCTCCAGCAGCCTTACCTGGGGTCCTGGGTGCCCCTGGGAGCTGCAGCCATGGGAATACTGCAGCAGGGAGCCTGGCCAGCAGCCAGAGTGTGGCTCCAGCCAGTCAGGCTCCAGTTTGGGGTAGCATGAGCTGCTGCCATATGCATCACCCCACTTTTTTTAGGCATGGGTTTGTTTGAGTCTGGGATCTCCTGGAGTCAAATCCCTCCCCATGTTGCAAAGTAGAAGTGTGGGAAACACATGATTGTGCGATGTATGTGGTGCCACAGACAGGTCTGCAGTACTGCATACCACTCATCCAAGCTTGTCTGGACACACCCCTAGAGTCTGGCCAAAAAGACCTCAAAAGAGTTCACTCAGTCTTGAGAATTTCTACGAAATGTGTGTATATGTATATGATGTATTATTGTAGCAGTATAAAACATGATGGGTCAAATCTATAGCTTGTGAAAACTGTCAAAGCTCTACTGACTTCAAGTTTATACAAGTTGAGGATCTGGCTGAATTAATTCCATACCAAACTAAAAAATAAATAAAATACAGAATATTTTAGTATTTGCATGAGTAATTTTGACAGACATCAGTTTTGTTCCAGATAGCCCTTGGCCAGAATGACTCTTAACCAGGGCTGTCCAGCTGGTGGCCTGCAGGCCAACCCACAAGGTGTTAACATGCAGCTGACAGGCTCTCACCAGGTAGCCACTCCACCCATTGCTCTTGCAGCTGTGGTGACTGGGTTCTCCAGGCTCCCGCTTCCTCCTCCAGGTCCTGGTTCCTGTCCCCACACACAAAAGAGGACCAGGCTGCCTATGATGTAAATAGGGTGGATGAAGGAGCAGGCTGCACATGTACCAAATGAGATAACTCAGGCAGCCTGTGGTACAGGTGTGTTGTCTGGACATGTGCTGGAAAGGGGATGGAGGAGGAGCTGAGCTGCTCACTGTGCATACTGGGGAAGGGAGGTCCACATGGTGTTGGTGGGAGCAACACTGTGCACATAGTGAGGGAGCTGTACATGCAGCAGGGGTAGCTGGGTGAGATCCACTGTGCATATGGCGAGATGACTGGGCTGCTGACCCAGTGAGAGGGGAGCTGCACTGTAAGCATGGCATGGGGTAGCTGGGTTGCAAATGGTGCAGTGGGGAACTGGGCTCTGCATGCAGCAAGGTAGAGCTGGGCTGCTCCTGCCAGATGGTGGGGAGGGAGGGGGGGAATTGCACTGTGTGCATGGCAAGGGGGAGATGCTCTACTCACCCAGCGGGAGGGGGAGCTGCACTGTGAGCAGGGAACCTGTGTGCATGGGGCAGTGTTGGGGAGAGAGGGATAAGCTGGGCTGCTCACCTGCCAGGGAGTGGGCCTGGGCTGCATGTGTGACCAGAGCAGGTTTCCCCAATGGTATGCATACACCAGGTTTGTGGCCGGTGCTGTATGCAGCCCCTGCATATCTAGAAGTTGGACAGCTCTGAGTTTTAACTACATTCCTTCCAGATTCACAATTAAACTTTTGCACAGTCATAAAAACATTACTGTTTTGTAAAATAACAGAAAAAAAGAGACATTAAAGAGCATAAAAATCTTGGTAAGGAATAAAAAAAAAGATGTGTAAAGGAAAAACTAGGAATAACTAGATGATAATATTTCAGGAGGAGACTGCAGTAGAGCAAAATTAGATGAAAAAATAGTGTTATCATCCATAATACTGTTGAGTGTCTGGTTGTGTAAACTGCCAACACTGCCAACTGTTAGGCATTCATAGCTCTATAGCTGAAAAATTCACTACTGGTCAAGAATTGCTGTGACAGAATCCATTTTCAAGACCTGATGTAATTCCAGCTGGATAATTAAACCTGCCCAGAGACAGAGCCATAACATATATTCTAAAGGAGTAACCATTCATTTTAAACTATTACGTCCCAATATAATTCTGAAGATTTTTAACCTCTGTGTTGGCTTACATATACAAAAAAAATCAGTAAAAGAACACAGCTGAACTACTGACTTTGTGAAGACTGGTAGAAATCAATGCTAATGTAATAAAATAGCTCATGTCCAATACCTTTCTCTGGAAGTAAGTTTGAGGCAGATCTTAAACTGCAAAGTAAAGTGAACAGAGCATTCACAAACACATTTGCCAGCGATTTTAAAACTTGTTTTAAAGCATTATATGCTTTTATATCAATTTTTTTATATTCCAGATTTTTTGTGCTGGAATCAAGGCATTCATTGTAACAGTATTAAAGGTGAACATTAATAAAAGTTAATCTCTGAACTGGGATTAACTAGGATCTTTCCTAGGGACTATGAAATTCAGTTACTGTATGTTCACATTGGTAAAGGAAAGCAAAGCCTATCCCTTGGACCCAAAGCCTAAAGGGACCACTCTGCGGAAGATGATGCAGAATGACCAGGGTGAAGATAAATATATGCTCACCATTGGCGTGAATCTTGTGAAGCATCTTGATAGGCTAGACCCCCATAAATCAGCTGGTCCAGATAGGTTGCACCCAAGAGTCAGACATCATAGCGCAGCCACTGACAAGGATATTCGAGAACTCGTGGCACTCAAGCAAAGTACCTGAAGATTGGAAGATGGTCAATGTGGTGCCCATCTTCAAGAAAAGGAGGAAAGAAAACCTGGGAAACTATAGGCCAATCAGTTTGACCTCAATCCCTGGGAAGATTTTGGAAAAAAATTATCAAAGAAAGTATTCTTGACAGACTAGCAGAAGACAACATTCTGTGGGATAGCCAGCACAGGTGTG